ATGTGTGGGCCCGGGGGACTCAGTTTTGGGGCTCTCCGGGCCTGCCCTCGGCCCGTGCTCCTGCACAGGCTTGGGGGCCCGGCTGCGGGGATCTCTGGGCTTCCCCCGACCCCAGCGCTCCTGCGCGGGCCTGGGGAACCCAGCTGGGGGTCTCTCCGGGCTTTACCCGGCCCCAGCGCTTTGGCGGCAGGGTTTTCTGGGCCTACCCCCGGCCCCAGCACTCCTGCGCGGGCCCGGGGGACCCGATCTCTGGGCTTCCCCTGCCCCAGCGCTCCTGTGCAGGCCTGGGGTCCCGGCTGCGGGGATCTCTGGGATTCCCCCGGCCCCAGCGCTCCTGCACGGGCCCGGGGGACCCGACTGCGGGGGTCTCCGTGCCTGCCCCCAGCCCCAGCGGGGCTCTCCAGGCCTCCCTCCGGCCCCAGCGCTGCTCCGCAAGCCCGGGGGGCCCGGCTGCGGGGCTCTCCAGGCCTGCCCCTGGCCCCAGCGCTTCTGCGTGGGCCCAAGGGACCTGGCTGCGGGGCTCTCCAGGCCTACCCCCGGCCCCAGCGCTTCAGCACGGGCGACCCAGCAGCAGGGCTCTTTGGGCCTCCCCCTGGCCCCAGCACTTCGACGCGGGGAGCTGGGGGCAGGGCTCGCCAAAGCCACCATTTGTGCCGGCTCCTGGACTGCCAGAGCAGTGCTCCGGCGCGCTCTGGCCCCAAAAGACCCCCGATAACACCTGTTCATTCTCATAAGTGGAGATGAATGGTTATCCACCATTATAAATATCTATGGCGCTTTACATGGTATTTCCATGTGGGCTTCTTTCCATGTGAGTTTTTTTCTGTGGGCTTTTATGTGTGGACTTTTTTCCATGTGGGCATTTTTCCTGTGAGCATTTATGATCGTGGGATTTTTCTGTGGCCTTTTTTCCGGCTGACTTTTTTCTTGTGGGCTTTTTTCACAGAACTCCATTTCACACACTAAGAGGATCATTTAAGCCTGCAAAGAGAAAATTGTTTACCTTTGATTTCTTCTACCATGAGCTTATCACAGATTTGCTTCTCATAGGTCTCTATATGCTCCAGAGATTCTCGGAACAAATCTGCTTCTCTCATCACTTGGTTCTGGTACAGAATTAATTCACTATATTCATAGTCTATCTTATTAGGAGGAATCTGGAAGATAGAACAGTTAATAAGTCATTTTCTCCCTGGAAGACAGTAACTTCATAAATGCACAATTTTTACGTTAGAAAAACAAAATTTTGCAAAATCAGCTTCTTACAGCAAAATTTAGACTACCTTTGTGCGAAATTCAGATTTTTAAATGAACTGCCATCAGAGCATGCTTCCCAGGTAACTGTACATAATCCTTAGTAGGCAAAAGTATTACACTAAAATGTCGTCAATTCCACATAAGAGCACCATTTTTGTCTACATTATGTCCTAAAATGCTGTAATCTTTTTGAATGGCAGAAATTATGGATTCTCTCCACTGTAGCAGTTAAACAAATACTTTATCTGTGTTAAAGATGCTGAGCTGTTCAGAAACTGGGTCTTACCTGTTGGGTTTTTCTAAACTCCTCCAGGAGTTTTAAGGCCATGTCATAGTCTTTTAGCAAATGGTATGCAATTGCATATCCAATCCATGAAGCCCTCTGAGTGGGCCGCAGCTGTAGTAGCTGATACCGGGTCTCCTTTACAAAGAAAAAAATAGACACCAAAGCTGGAAATCTGTCCTTCTTAACACTGCAAAAGAATTTAATTTATTGGGAAAAACAATAATCAAGCTTCAACAGCAAAGCAAGGAAAAGAGAAACAGTCAAAGAGATTTCCTCAGGAATTTCAGCCTAGCACTGCAAACTTGATCCTGTTTGCAATGAAATAAATGGCACAGATTTATCATCGTCATTGCTGCCACCATCAAAGAATACACAATGTCCGCAGCATGGGAAGAGAGGACACCCAACTCTGATTTCCCATTAAAAAATAGCTTCCCACATAATTTGGGGGGTGGGGGAGATGGTGTAAATTAATTAATTAATAAATTATGCAAATAGAAGAGAATCATTTGATTTGTTACAATTATTCATGGCTTTCTACTAACAGTCTTGAAATACGCAATTTTCAAATTCTGTATTTGTAGGAAGGTAGCAGGAGAATGGGGCCACGGTGGCTCAGAGGTTAAGACGCTGAACTGCAGGCTGGAAGGTCTGTAGTTCAGCAGTTCGAGACCCTTGTGCCGCGTGACGGAGGGAGCTCCCGTCTCTGGCCCCAGCTCCTGCCAACCTAGCAGTTCGAAAGCAAGAAACTGCAAGTAGATAAATAGGGACTGCTTTGGTGGGAAGGTAACAGCGTTCAATGCTCCTTGGCGTTTAGTCATGCCGGCCACATGACCACGGAAACCTCTTCGAACAGCGCTGGTTCTTCAGCTTGGAAACAGAGATGAGCACCGCCCCCTAGAGTCGGCTTCGACTAGCCTTCAAGCAAGGGAAACCTTTACCTGTACAATAAAGCTGATAAGTCCAGTTCAATAAAACTCAAGGTCACCTACACTAGATCCACCTCTAGTCCAAACAAATGCACAGATAGCACCTTATTAATTGCTACTGTTAATTTCAACAGAGAAACAAAGTCTCTTTTTAAAATTGTATTAAAGATAGATTCCTTACTCTATATCCTTCAAGATCCCGCATTTGGATCTGTAACAGCGAGAGATCTCTCAAGATTTGTAGATTGTCTTTATCTAATTTGAGAGCATTTCGATAGCACTTAATTGCTTCATCGTATTTTTTATCAGAGCGCTGCAAGAGGCCATATACATGCCAACCTTAGACAGTTAAGGATATATTCACTGTTTTCTGGAAATATATTTGTATGCAGTTCTGGAAAGATCCATCAATTAGTTTAATTCACTCATCACACCTTAGGAACCATGAGCTGACATACATATAAATCTTCCTTTCATTCTAGAGTTAATTATGGGCATGACCTGCAGAATATAAAATATAAGGCGGGACTAGCAATAAGATGTGGAACTTCAACAGCATTTAATGTGAACTGTTCTTCTAAAGGTCTACTCAGTACTGAAGGAATGTTTGTAAGTTTGCATACCTCACCACGATCACTGTCCACTATGAAGAACAAGGTTCTACCAGACATTCTGTAGCAAATAACCAAACACCTAAGCGGAACTTCCAGTGACCGATGTTCATTTGTCTCAATGACTGCCTGACACTGGACCCCACCCCCCACGTCAGCAAGATGAACTCAAAAACTTACAAGCCTACGGCTATTGCAGAATTGGCGGAAAGGGCCATCAAGTTGCAGCTGACTTCTGGCAACCCCCACATGGTTTTCAAGGCAAGAGATGAACAGAGGGTTTGCCATAGTGACCCCTGACTTCCTTGGTGGTCTCTCATCCAAGTACCAACAATGGCTGACCCTGCTTAGCTTCTGAGATTTGAAAAAAATCAGGCTAGCCTGGGCCACCCAGCTCAGGAAAGAATTATTCAGAACTGCAGAATCTGTTGGTCCAAAACCCATCAACGGTGCACTTCAAGTACACAAAGTTTGTGCATTGTTATAGGTTACACATAACTCCCTGGATATTCTGAAGTTAAAAGTTATTCCACCACATACTGTTCTCAACTATGAATTCTAGTAATACTGGAAGGGCGAGTTTCCTCTTCATGTTATAACTGTACTTTTACAGAGAAACCAAGTTTTCTACAGTACAGTGACTGACATACTATATTGTACTAAATTGTGGAGAAGATGCTGTGGGGTAGAAAATTCCCAGGTCCCCAGCTGGAGAAACTCTTAGACATTTGGTGCTGGCACCTCATAATCTCGCTTATTTTCCATATTGCATCTCCCATGTCCGCTTATGAAGATTTTAAAGCTTTGCTAGGCACAGGATCCAGCTGAAGCAGAGCCCACTGTACGCTTTGGTGCCAAGCCTCTGTATGAACAGGCCATATATTTTAGTACTGTGAACCAGGGAAGGAGGTGACATGGTGTTAGGATCAGTACGTATTACTTGTTCTGAGTAAAATATGAGCAGCGGAAGTGGGATGTTCTGTATGAGGCAAACTAGATTATTTTCCTTTAAGCTCTTTTCAATGGGGCTGGCTTTGTATTTTTGCTCCTCTCCATTTTGCAGATTTTCAGCAAGCCAATTAGGCTAAGCCACTGAGACGGGGCATCGGTTTTAGAATGTATCCAGCTGTTTCTATAAGTAGTGTGGTAGGAAGAGAGCTGTGGGTCACTGCCCACCATGCAGCTCTTTGCCAGGCACAGGCCAGGAGGCCAGTATTAACAGGCAGCGGTACTCGAAAGAGCTCATGCGTGCAGCAAACAGTGACTTCCAGAACAGCTGGGACCTGGCCTGCGTGGAAAACCGGAAGCAGCGTCACTTGAGAGCCAGGGGGGTGCGGCAGCTGGAGTGTCAGACCTGGGAGCCCTGGGTTCAAATCACTGTTCCCTCTAGGCTGAGTTAGTGTGAGCTAGCTCACAGTTTTTCAGCCTCCGGCTCACTCATTTTTGTCTTGGCTCAGGAAGGATGGCTCCAGAGCAAGCTAATTTAATATGCAGTAGCCAAATCGCTCACTCACAGCTTTAATGCCAGTAGCTCACGAAGGAGAATTTTTGCTCACAAGACTCCGCAGCTTAGAGGGAGCACTGGTTCAAATCCCCACTTATACCACGGAAGCTCGCTGGGTGACCTGCGGCCAGTCATGCACTGTCAGCCTGACCTATCTCACAGGGTTGTTGTGAGTATAAAATGGAGGGGAGGAATTTATGTAAACTGCTTTGGGTTCCCACTGAGGAGAAAGACAAGGTATGATTGAAGCAAATAAAATAAATATTCATTTCGGGGCTTCTTTACATGGACTAGTAGGAGCAGGTGTCATGTGTAAACATTACTGAGGAACAGAATCTTTTGTGAATGCCCAGCGTGTGAAATACAGGACCTTGTCATGGATCAACAGACAGCAATGCTACCTTCAGAACTATTCCTATAACAAGGGGAAAGGGAGAATGGAATAAAACACTGATCAATAACTGGATGAAATAATCCAGTTCTGAAACTAGCACACTTGAACTGGGTCCATTTCTGTGCATTCCTTCAAAGCCAGAATGTCCTGCTTCAAAATTTCTGACCACAAGAAAACGGTCTTCCTCCTTCTGGGTCATCAGTGCAAGGTACACAGGAACACACGAAAAGAGCAAGAGTCCAGGAGCACCTTAAAGACTAACAAAATTTGTGGCAGGGGAGGGGCTTTTTTCTGGGGGGATGCGCCGGAACAGAGTTCCAGAACCTCTTCGACAAAATTATTTTTAAAGTGTTTAAAAGTTCATGAGTAGACTAAAAATTTCATTTGCCTCTTGAGAGTTCAGAAGCCTCTTTTTCCAAAGCAAAAGCCCTGGGTATGGGCAGGGTATGAGCTGTTGTGAGCTACAGGCAGACTAACACAGGTACCCATCTTGATCTATGAACACATGAAGGTGCCTCGTACCGAATTCAGATCCTTGGTCCATTACGGTCAGTACTGTCTACTAAGACTGGCAGCGGCTGTCTCGGCTTCAGACAGAGGTCTTTCTCATCACCTGTTGCCTGGTCCTTTTAACTGGAGATGCCGGGGATTGAACCTGGGACCTTCTGCATGCCAAGCAGAGGTCTTCCACTAAGCCAAGGTCTTCCACTAAGGCCAAGCAGAGGTCTTCCACTTCCCTTCCCCTAAGGTAACAAAAAGGCAGAACAACTGCAGGACTTAATGCTGGAAGGAGCCATTTTAAACCATTCATCATTCAGGGATGCAAATGGAAATGAAAAGAGAACTGGATTAAACTCGGGTGACTTACTGCCTGTTCAGGAACCCAGTTTCATAGGAAGAGCTGCCAATGTCCTGCCCTGGCCTGGAAGGCCGAGGCTAGCCCAGTCTCATCCTGTCTCAGAAGCTAAGCAGGGTCAGCCCTGGTTGGTACTTGGATGGGAGACCACCAAGGAAGTCCAGCGTTACTACACAGAGGCAGGCAATTAGCCAACCACCCCTGAACGCTGCTTGCCTAGAAAACCCTGCAAGGTCACCATAGGTTGGCTACAACTTGACGGCACCTTCCACCACCACTAATGTCCCACATTTTAGAATTCAATAGATTCAAAGATTACATTTTCAAAGAATCTTATTACGTAATTATCTAACTATCTTCAGAGTAATCTTCAACATAAGACTTGCAAGTCTGTTATGTAGCAAAAGGATCCACTTGTACGTTTGAAAATAATTTTGGGAAAGGCCAGTACAATGCTTCAAAGCCAGTACACTGCTTCAAAGGATACAAACGTGACTTTTAACATCATTTCGAAGACCTTTACGAACAAATTCATACGCGTCTTCTTTCTTCCCTAAACAATTCAGCGTCAATCCTTTCATAGCCAATGTCTCTGTAAGAGATTTTATCATTTGTGAATATGGAGAGTTAAAGCTATACACCAATAACAAGGTTTAACGTGATACAATATAATGCAATTATCCAATCATCTCTTGGGATGAAGGGGCTCCATCTTCCCACCCATCCTCAAGAGCTTCCCAAAAGGGGCAGCTTTGTGTAGGAAACCAGCATAACAGGAGTGGGGGGGTGAGGGGGGGAAGCTGCGTGGAAAGAATTCAGACTGCAGACGGAGGATCTGACCTTACCTCCATGCTCGGCAAACTTTGGATTGGAGAGAATCATCTTGCAGAACTTGAGTCCATTTTTGTATTGTTTTTGTTCATAACATTTCTGGGGGGGGGAGAGAAATAAAGTTACATCATGTTTTAAAAAAGTAATCTCTAGTTCAATTTAGCATTCTAATCTACCAGCTCCTTCAGTGGAAAAATCCAGTCTCTAATGGGAAAAGAGCACTGTTTAGTTTGATTGCATTTGAATGTGTGCAAAGAAGTGGTGATAGGTCTAAATTAAAACCAGCTTTGGGAAGATGAAATTCTGAGCAGATAAGACGGGTGTGTAACTCCCCCCCCCCCACTGCTTCTCCACTCATAATTACTCCCGCTAAGCAGCTCTCTGACCAATATGTGTTTACCCTTATGGGAGGAAAGGCTGCAAGGCCGAACTGGATGTGTGGGAGATACCTTGTCTGTTCAAATTAATCCGAGATTGAAAAGAACCATTTTATTTCTTCTATCTGATTAACAGTATAAATATTACCACCTTCTCCAGAATCCCACTGGTATCAGAGTTCTTGCAGCTATTTTTATCACGGTCATGATTTGGCACAGGTGAAAGATGATGTATGTAATGACAGCAGAAAAGGGCAATATCATTTGACAACAAATACAAAGAGGATGTTTTAAAATATAGAGCATGAACGTACAAGTGTTTGTGATTGCAGATTTGGACCTAGCAACTAGAGGTTTTCCAAACAAAATTGAATCAGCATCCATCAGGGCTATTTTAAATATAAACCATTCTACCTTGAGACACTGTAGACTATCAATCCAATCTCCTGAATTTCCACTGTTCCCTGGAGAAGTCAGAGGTAGAGCTGCATTTATGCACAAACTGAGCAAATAAAACAGATTCAAAATGCCTCCTAAAAATCCTCCATGGCCAGCATCCGCTTCACCTCCTCCAGGAAGCCCACTCCGTCAAGCCACTAGTGAGAAGGAAGCAGCTCTAGCCGGTGCCAGGCAGAAGTGGGGAGGCAACCAGAAGGCGGCAACCAGAAAAGTTTAACTGGCACATGAGGACACAGGGAAGGAGAGAGAGAGGGTCCATCCAGTACGTGGTTCTCAATATATGAGGGGGCTTGAAAGCTTTATAACCAGCCATTTGCACTGAACTCAGAAACAAGCTGCCAGCCAACGCAGCCCTCCCATACTTCATGACAAAGTTAAGACTGGTGTCTACTTTACTGGTTCTAGGTCCAAGCACTGAAACTGATAATACGCATCACATTAGTCTACCTACTCTACCACTTATGAACGCTAGATCAGATGCATGCCAAAAGTAACAACTGCTCCTGTGAACGTGCTGTCTTCTAGTAAAAGCAATCACTTGGCTGTTCTAAAATTAGTACTTTATTTTTAGCAAAGAGCAGTGGAGTTCTAGAGTGACTTGCTGAGCAGCATACCATAACCACACAGCAAAAGCAAAACACACCAGGAGATTGGTATTAAGTGCCAATGAAAGAATAAAGTTGTGAAATTCAAAGCAAAGTTCACCATTTTTTTTAAAATTCAAGGTAGTGAAACAGTCTTCGTTGCAGATACTGTCAACTGAGCTTGACCCATGATAACGGACATGGCAGAGGGACTTACAGATGACACCGCTATTTGCAAACCTAATCTGAGAACATCTGACCAAACCTGGATGACCAGAATCCAGAAAGAGCTCTCTTCACATTCTAGACAGAGAATTATACTGTTATGGTTTCCATCAAGACAAAGATAGGACATACCTAGTTGTAGACAGCAAGAGCACTCTGGAGAAACAGCAAGGAGTAGCTACAGCATGCCCCCCCCCCTTCAGAAATTTTGTTTGGCTCTAGAAGCCAGTCCAAAAATTTAGGAGCTCCTTTTTCAGCTTTTGTGTTTTATATTTTAATCACCATAGCTTCTTATTGTTACCACCAAACCTAACCCTAAATTCTTTATGATTTCTCATTATTTTATTAAACCTGTTACAAAAATATTGTAGTTTTCATCACAACAAAAACTAACCTTTAAGCCTGGGATCAGCGATCTTTTTTTAATAAGAGCTACTTCTGTATAATGTAAAGTATCCTGATCTAACTATTCCCAGCATATGACGGTTTTGCTCTGTCCCAGAAACAGAACATGGACTGGAAAGAGCACCAGAAACAAAGCTATCAGCTAAGCAGCATTTAGAATAATCCTATGACAAAAACCTTTCTTTTTAAAAAGAAATCTTTTTGTGATCTTTTTCTGAGTCATCTAAGAGATGCACAAGCTACTCTGCAGAAGTCAGGGAGCAGGCGGTAGCCAATGAACTACCTGCTGGAGACGCCTTGCTCTAACCCTAACCTAACATGATAGAGGTTTACAAAAGTATGCATTGGGTACAGAAGGTGGTAGAGAAAGAAGTACTTTTCTCCCTTTCTCACAATACAAGAAATGTTGGGAACTCAAAGAAATTAATGAGCAGTAGTTAGAACAGATAAAAGGAAGTCCTTATTCACCCAAAGAGTAATTAACATGTGGAATTCACTGACCAAAGAAGTGGTGGCGGCTACAAGCAAAGAGAGCTTCAAGAGGCGATTAGAGAAACATAAAGAGCAGAGGTCCATCAGTGGCTCTTAGCCACAAGGTACAGATGAAACACTCTGACTGGGGTAGTGAAGCTCTGTTTTAATGGGGCCCGGAGGAGGCCACAGTGGGAGGGCTTCTGGAGTTCTAGCCCCACTGGTGAACCTCCTGATGGCACCTGGGTTTTGGCCACTGTGTGACCCAGAGTGTTGGACTGGATGAGCCACTAGCCTGATGCAGCATGGCTTCTCTTATGTTCTCATGTTCTAATGTCTCCCTCATTTCTCATAATTTCAATTTCGTTTTAAAAAGCTCCATTTAACTGAAGATTATTGGAGCTTGAATAGAAAGCAAATGATTAAGAAAGGAATTCATCTACCACCCCTGAATGGTGAAAAGTTAATACAAACAAACAGCAACAAAAACTTCATGGACATGTCATACAACAAAACATATTCAGATGTGAAATTACAAGCAAGCATTATGCTTCTACTGAGGAGCACCAAGAGACATAATACAATTATGGGTTAAAATCCTATGTGCACACAGTAGTTCCTAGGCACCCTGGTGACTGGGATCTGTTGAGCCCTGAGATTTAAGAGTATCCCTGAATGACCACACATTACAAAATACTGCAGGATTAGGCATTTTTTGGCTTTGCCACCTCTGAAATCAAACGCTGAAACTGAAACGTGCACTATAGAAAGATGCCTAGTATTCCAAGACTGCTGGCAGTCTATCCTATTATGTGCTCTGTGGTGATTTAAATGTGCACAGAATCACGTTTCTAAGTACCAATAGAGAGTCTGTGTTGCACAGTGTATTTTCATAGCCACATCGCTGGAATTACAGGATAATAATCCAAAATTCTGGCTGCAATCCCAGGGATAAGAATGTTAAAGGCAAAGCTTATTGCTTTTGCTGGGAATGCTGCACTATGATGCTTTCACAAGACCTGCTTACAGATGTTATGTAAAGCTATTTAAAAGTGAAAATCCTGGCAGACCAATACAGAATGACTTCTACACACTCAACCCTGGCTTCAGAGTTGGCATGGTATTTACAAGAATCTTATTTCCTTATCCCTGTGTTGCACAGGTCAGGCTACTTTGGGGGAAATTTTCATATTAGAAATAATGAACCAATATGGATGTAAAAGGTTTCCCTTGCTTGAAAGCCAGTCAAATCTGACTCTAGCGGGGTGGTGCTCATCTCCGTTTCTAAGCCAAAGACCCAGCGCTGTCTGAAGACTTCTCCGTGGTCATGTAGCCAACATGACTAAACGCCAAGGTGCATGGAATGCTGTTACCTTCCCACCGAAGTGGTACCTATTTATCTACTTGCAATTTCTTGCTTTCGAACTGCTAGGTTGGCAGGAGCTGGGGCCAGAGACGGGAGCTCACTCCGTCACGTGGCACTCGGCTCTCGAACTGCCGAGCTACAGACCTTCCAGTCTGCAGCTCAGCGTCTTAACCTCTAAGCCACCACGGCCCCTGTAATATGGATGCAGTGTACACCAAAACAAATGTAAAGAGCAGACTCTAGCTCCAGATGGTGGACAAAGGAGGCAACACATGATAACACACCAGATTCGCTCTTCCAGGAAAAGGTATGTTCAGGAAGAACATCACCTGTAAGTTTCTGAAATGTTTGCAGTCAAGTCTTTGCCTGGTGCTTTCCAAGATCACTCAAGTGGGATTTTAAAAAAACAACACCCCCCCCTCCAGCAGCACTCATTCCCATGCTGCCCACCGAAGGATGAGAATCCATGGAAGCGTAGTGAAATCTTTGTCACAGCTCTCAAAAGCTTCAAGGCAAGCAAATCCATTTCCAGCTGCTCCACAGATTGTGTTTCTGTTCCTTTTTGTGGTCAGGGAGTGCCACAACAGAAGAGCAGCAACTGTATTTGTGGAGATGACTACAACTTGTTTACAGCTCTCTGTCTCAACAGCCTCCCAAGCATGAAGGGTCATCATCTTGTGCCACGGCTGCCTTGAAGATCTGGGGCTGTCTTTCCCGAGGAGGTTCAGAAAAGCCATCCACAGTCACCCACTCACAATGCAGTTGCAGTTCTAAGCCTCTCATTATGGGGGCATGAGAAGAGGAAAGGGCCAGATGAGAGGCGAAGGGACCACTGTGGTGTAGTGGTTAGAGCGCTGGACTGGGACTGGGGAAGCCTGGGTTTGAATCCTCACTCTGCCATGGAAGTCCGCTGGGTCACCATTGGCCAGCCACACACTCTCAGCCAAGCCTACACCACAGGGTTGTTGACAAAATGGGGGAGAACAATGTGAGCCACTTTGAGTCCCTATTGGGGAGAAAAGTGGGGAATAAATAAAATAACAAATAAATATCGACAAAGCTATTCCAAACCAAAAAAACAGAGTCCATCAAAACCTTAACAAACTTGTGCCAACAAATATGGAAAACAAAACAAAGGCCCATAGACTGGAAACACTCAATTTACTTCCCAATTCCAAATAAAGAAAATGTTAAAGACTGCAGCAACTGTCGGGCCATTGCAATAATTTCTCACACCAATTAAGTGATGCTCAGAATGTTACAACAAAGATCTTATATGGAACGAGAAATGCCAGCTGTTCAAGCTGGATTCAGAAAAGAGACACTAAAGATCATATTGCAAATTTACATTGGTTACTGTAACATATGAGAGAATTTCAGAAGAAAATCAGCCTGTGCTTCACACATTGCAGTAAAGCTTTAAACGGTGTGGATCATGAAAAGCTATGGCTGGTTTTAAAGGAAAGGGGAGTGCCACAACATCTGACTGTTTTGATGTATAACCTATACTCCGGGCAAAAGACCTAGATCTAATCCAACTTTCCTTATGATATGTTTCCTTATAATATAGATTTAAAGAGACAGAAAGATAGAATACATCCTTGTCTGACACCTTTGCCAACTGGAAACCGTTCCTCTTCTCCATATTCAGTCCTAACGGTAGTCTCTAGGGGGCGGTGCTCATCTCCGTTTCCAAGCCAAAGAGCCAGCGCTGCCCGAAGACTTCTCCATATGTAGATGACGCCACCTCACTGGCAGAAAATACTGAAGACTAGTAACAACAACTGGTGAAGGTTAAAGCAGAAAGTGCCCAAGCGGGATTACATCTGAACATCAAGAAGGCAAAATTAATGGCTACTGGGGAACTGCCTAACTTTAAGGGTGACAATGAAGAAACTGAAATTGTCAAAGACCTTCTACTCCTTGGCTCCATCATCAACCGAAAGGCAGACAGCAACCAAGAAATCAGAAGGAGATTGAGACTGGGAAGGGCAGTCATGAAGGAGCTAGAAAAGACCCTTAAGTATGTGTTGCTGGACAAACAGTAGTAGGGCTACATTTCCTGCGAATGGGAGGCATGGGGTAATTTCCACTCATTCTCTCGGCCCGCTGAAGACCACTGGTCTGCCTCTCGTGCTGTTCCTGAGGGTCCCCGGACTTCCAGGAGCAGCGTTCGGGGGGAGATCAATGGACTGCAGTGGGAGAAGGGGAGGCAGGACTATGTTCTGTCCCACGGGAAGAATTGCCTTCAGTGACCAGGAAATTTGTAATCTGGATCCAACCCATAATGCATTATTCCAAGGGTCCCCAACGTGATGCCCACGGCCACCATGGCACCTGCTGACACCTCACTTGTCGCCTGCCAAGTGTTTTCAGCACAACAGTACTATTTGGCATTAACTACTTTACAGCTTATGCATGTTTAAAGTCCTTCACACACAGTGGCTGCACTCCATCATCACAATGTGGTTGTACAAACCCTGGCTAGTCTCCGAGACATACTTCAGACGACGGCATCCTTGGAAATTTATTCGCGTCTGCTGCTGGCTTCCTTTTGGTCCTCCAAGCAGAGTCCCCAGATGCTATCCAAAGTAACCTTGCATTGCTACGCCACTTGCAAAACCTCTCTGTCCCCTTTTCTACACAGATCAACCGCCCCAGGTTTGACACTTTTGAAAGCCGAGGGTTTCCCATTTGACCACAGCATCGTGCTACATTTGGTTGCCACGTGTTCACTGGATTTTATCCGGTGTTTCCCAAATCTGCTTTGCTGTGAAGTTTCTAGAAAGACTGCAAGGAGCTTGGATGGCTGCTGTGTGGACAAGAAAGGCTGGATTGTCCTGATCCCGCCCAAACAGCAGCCCTTTTCCTGTAGTGGCCATCCCCCCCCCCCGTTCTATTGTCTGTTTTAAAATCAGCAACTGAACACATTTTTAAAAAATCTCCAGCCCCTCTCTTTGCAGAGACACAACTTTATCTGATATCCTTCAATGAAAGAAGCCACAGCTACTTAAAACAAAAACAATGAACGCTTGAAATTCAGAGAACCTGACAGGCAGACTATTATGACATTATGACGACACAGAACAGCTGATTTTTTTTTTAAAAGCAACCCTAAAAAAGTCCTAATAGCACAAGTGTGTGTATGTGCGTGTGGATGTGGAAGAGGGCTGTTGCAAGAGGACCGGGGCAGGGAAAATGTGGGGGAACCTGTCATGTCAAAGCCCGGTTGCTGCCGTGCTGTGCTGGCAGCCACAGCCGCCTCTCTCTGTGTGAGCAAAATGCCTGCTTGTGCTGGCTGGCCATCACACATGAACGGCAAGAGAAGGGCCAGGGCAAGCCCACATCACCTCCTCCTGCTCTCGGATAAGGATCTACAACTTCATTCCCCTTCTACCTTTGCCTCCCTGTTTCACTGAGATCCTAAACCTTTCTACCCTGAAACAAATCTGTCACAGACCTCACCTCCACTGCTCTCTTGCCAACTGTCAGCCACCTTCCTCCTTTCTCTCCAGCCACTTCAATGCATTCCCTGCATCACCCTCTGAAAACATGCAATTTAAAAGTTCCTTTGTCCGGCTACCTTTTGAGTTTGCCCTATTCCTGAGGCTGGAGCTCACAGTCCTGTCTGTTGAGACATCACTCGTAGGACAGTGGGGGACATGGACAGAAAACAGGAGAAAGTAAGGGATGTGCTGGGGAATTATCAGTAGTCGAAATGCTGCTGGAGTAACAGGGTTTCTTTGGTCAACCTCTGCTTCCAGCTCCGCGTGCCGGAGGCTGAGGCAGGCAGTGCTAGTGAACAAACTGGGATTCCTGTCCACACCACAAGGCACAGTTAGTACAAGCCACAGTTAACAAGACAAGTACAAACCATGGTTTAGAGTCCCAGTTTGGCATCCATTCTAACAGCCTTCAGTTTCTATGTGCAATCTGCATTCATATACCAAACTCAACCAAAGTTCAATTAATGCAAACCATGAAGAGTGATTTATCATGACACCTAAAAGTAGCTATTATATTTCTAATCCTTATAGCAACTTTTAAAGCAAGGTCAATTCTCAGAGATGCAATCGTTACACACATTTTTTTTGGTTTGTCATTTTACTCCTTTTTTCACCAGCACACAAAATATTCCAATTTTTATTACACATTGCTAGGTCTGCTTTTTAAAAATGAGGGGGGGAGAGCCAAAATCAAACATAAAACTATCAACAAACAGTAGTTCATGGCTCTAGTCCTAAAGGAGTAAACAAGCATAAAGGTTTGCAGTGCACTAGTTCAGGCTACATTGTTTTGTCACAAAATACCAATTTTGATGTAGAAGAAAGACCAAAACCATTTTTTGGCTTTCAATGGATATATTACTCTAAAGATTTGTTATCACTCCTGCCAGTGTTCCATTTCAAAGACATGGCTAGTTCAATGAAGATTTATGTGCTCCACGCCTCCTGTTTCCCCCCCAGCAGAATGTAGTATTTAGCACCAACCTGTCCACAACCAGCTTTTTCTGGAGACTTAGCACTTTGATGGATAAAACAAATAAACTTTATCAACTGATCAGTCAAAATAAACCCAAACCAAAACGTCCTGTATAGTCACGCTGTAGTTCTCAGTGAGTCAGGACCCAAAAGTGGATTGCAACTCTCGGTCCCTGGTACCTGGGAGAAAGGACGGTCTATTTTAAATAAATAAGTCACTTGCAGATATCTTGGAAAGACCAGGAAGGAGGAGAAGGAACTGGGCAAGTGGAGAGGAGGTGGCTCTGGAAGCATCAAACAGCCGATTTGAGTCTGCCCCCGCACACACACAGTGCTAAAGGACCATGCAATACAGGCTGCTGCTCAGATTGCTATATACTTGTACACACTAAATATTAAAAATAAATATTAAATATTTAAAATAAAATATAAATGTATACAATGTTAACAGATTCTCGTGAATTTGCAATTGATGGTTTCACATGTTAAGACACAAGCATGATCCCCACGTTTATACTGGTGGTGTCTTCTGCAAATGCATCAAATGCGGCTAAAACACCTGCTTTCCCGATACCTTCAAAAGAGCAGGCCTTGATCTTTAATGTCTGCTGTGGGAAATACTGGAGTCCCAGCAGCAGCAGCCCCTGTTTTTCATACCG